CCCCCCCTGCTCCCACCAAAAGTGACTGAATATTGACAAACACGGGTGCATTAAAACCAAGAATGGCTGTCAATAGGACAGCGGGATTTTCACCGCTGGCTGCTGCTGCTGCCAACGACATCATCATGCGTGCACTCGCCTCAGCTGCGCGGCCGCCGCCGTCGTAAGCAGGGGAAACGGCGAGCGAGGTTTGGCCCCGGTGATTTTTTTTTTACTAAAAAACCTGTCGCAGAGACGAGCTGACACAGGGCCACGCGAGCGTTCGCGCTTGAATAAAGACGGAGAACTGGGGGGGGGGCGGGAAGGCTGGAAGGGCTGCATGCGAGCGAGGATGATTGGAGGAGCGTGAGCCATCTCAGACCTTGTCGCAGAAAAAAAAATCAATAACCACGTCAAGCGTGACCCTGTGGACACTGCAGAAGCCCTAAGGTTTTGTTGTGGTGCTGTGGCTTTCTCTTTTTTGGGGGGGTTGGAAAGAGGACGGCACTTTTTTTTCAAACATCCCATCCATATGGAAAAGTGTCTGTGCATGTGCTTGGTCTTTCTCTACCAGGTGTGTAGCGGTGGGGGGGGACAGTGCAGCGGTTAGCGCGATGGGGTACAAACCCGGCATTGACCCGAGTTTGCGGCCAACGCCAGTGACGATTGTCTGATCCGGTCCTGGGTCTTCCCTAAGTCGACTCAGCCTCAAGTGAGTAGCTGGTGCGATGTGTAAACATCCTCACTGGGGAGACATTGGTTCAAGGCACTCAATAGAGATGATTGCCATCCATTGATCGTTTTGAGCTGGAAGACCTTTTGACTTTGACTTAGGAGTCAGAGCCCGATTGCCACCCTCTCGTTTGTAGAGATGAATTCCAACATGTGGCAATTGCTCAAAAAACGCATTTCTTTTCTTAAATTGGACAAAATCCGAATACCAGCAGTAAATGGTCTACTCGTAAGAATAACTGCAATCAATAAACTACTCTTGCCCAAGAATGACCTTACCATTTATATTCAAAAATAAGCCTAACCATTCACTGCTCAAAAGAAGCAATTGGGCAGCACTTGGTTCTGTTGGAGATCCTGAAGCAGTGGTGGCAAAAAATCCCTGGACATGAGCCGGTCCATCCATAGGAGAACCCATCCTTGCTCCTCGCATATTGGTACCCATTTCATTGATTACGGATATACAATGGGGGGTTTGACCACAGCAATGCCCGACTAGAACTTTAAACGGGGTTGTTTGACCTCATTTGTATGTATGTTGAACTTCGTTGGCGCTGTATGTAGCCAACTGTCAGCATGGCCTGGTGAAATATGGAGCCCAGGGTAGCCAAGGCCTGAGATTGAACTCGGGTGGCTGGGTTCCCAGCACAGTATACTAACCACTGCGCCACAATCTGTGCCTGTGCTGGGTGACAAAAGTCAACAAATCAATGTGTTTCCATGCTCAGAAAAGTATGGGTCAATGCTCATCTCTATTGGATGGCCTAAATCAGTGGTGAAAATTTCCCACAAAGTGGTGCTCATTTGATTAGCCATGAAGGAATTATTGGCCAAGTCAACCCAATACCCCAGAGTTGAACTTGCATCCTTCCGAGCGTCGAATACTCCAATGATAGCACCACTCGATCTCGTCAAGGAGCATAAACCATCACGCAGACGCCTTGACACTGTTGACAGAGGCTAACAAATGCCCTTGGTAAGGGATAGTAATCAAGCAGGCATCTGCATATCCATGGCACAGTAAAGTTGGGTAAGTGCAACGCAAGATACGTTTGTGATGACCTTGGAAAGAAGAAGAAACAAAACCAATGAAGATGTTTAAAAAAAAAAAATTGCAGAAAGTAGGCCCATGGTTTTATGACCTGGTCATTCTATTAAATATTACGGCATATAAATGAAACCGGCAATGCATCGCAGTGCGTAACGTCATTAAAAAAGGTTTATGTTCAGAGGTGGTAAGTGACAGAAGCAACACTTATGCTAAAAATAAAAGAAACATCTTGTTTCATGGCGGAGTGAAGGAGCGTTTACGTAAGCGGCTGTGTTCATATATATATATGCAACTGTGCGTGTTGCACCGCTGCTATGGGTCACACGAAGTTCACAGCTTCTCGGGCTTTTTATAGACATCTGAGTTCGCTTTCGCCCCCTCCTCCCGCAAACCCCCCTTCAAATCCACCCTTCCGAGCGCAGAAGCGAATTGACTAAAAAGCTGATTCCGGGGAGCCAAGACGGCAATAAATTCAGCGAGGATGAATGCAGTCGAAGGAGGGCAAGGGATGTGGATTTGGCTCCCTCTCTGGCCGCAACGTCACGTGTCGCGAGAGATTACGCAACGGCGGCCCCGAGCGCAGAGTGGTGGCCGTGCAAGCTGGCCGGCGGTGGGTGGACGCGTGGGGGATGAGCGAATGCGGGAGGTGATGGGATGGGGCCACGCATCGTCGGGCTCGCGAGGAGGGGCAACGCGCCGCTGCTGCTGCCGCCGCTGCTGCTGCACGACCGCGGACCGTGCGGAGAGTGGGAGCGGGCGGGCGATGTGCTGCCGAAATACGGAGCGCGAGCGCGTATTGTGGATTGTGAATTCAGAGTTTGTAGGTGAATATTTGAGATGTTAGCTGCAATTGTCAAGCAAGGTTTGTTGCATTAATCGGATGACTTCGTCCAGAATCGGAAAGATGCGGATGAACGTTCTGGTCAGATGTTGACTCAGCCAATTATCCCTAGAAGACTGATAAAGTGAATACAATGTTGTGGGTAGTAGTTACCACCATTGACACCGAGATGTTAACAGCGATGAGAAATAGCGTGAGAAAAGTGTGGGTTACACTGTTGCTGTTCGTCATCCACCACATCCCAACTGTGTTATATGAGAGTCACGAATCGAGATGAAGAATTGTCCATCTGAAACTCGTACAGTCAATCACAAATCACACGACGTCAGAGAAGAGGCAAGGGAAAATGAGACTGCGTCGTTTTCTTAGAGTCACTTCAATCAGCCTCTCTTATACAACACTTCATACGCAGTACAGGAGGTTGAACATGTAAAAGATAATACTCATTTACAAATTGCAGCCTTCATAGCTATGAGTATCCGAATTAAGCAGGGATAAGCCAAAAGCAAAACATTATAAATCATTTGAGAGTGAAAATAAACTCGCAGTGTATCCTTTCAAGCGGTAGAAATTCCCCATTAGCATCGTCAGGAGCAGCCTGCCGACAGAACTGCTGCTGATCTCCGACCCATCAGCGAGCCAGGTGTGACTGCGGTTACCGAGTTTCACTCGCAATGAGGTCACAAATTCAAATCCAAGTCAGGGATTCACAGAACCCATTATCTCTTCCGTGTCGGTAATATATTTACACAATTGGCTTTATGTTTAAAAAAAAAATGTGTGGGTGCATCTTATAAGACTTGTGTGTGTGTGACCAGATCTGCACTGCGCTATGAGCACAGCGACCCGAGTTCGATTCCTGCTCACGGCCAACACCAGTGACGAATATATGAACTGGTCCTGGGCCTCCCCTAGGTCGACTCAGCCTTGTATGAGTACCTGGAGCGATGTGCAAGGACTGCCACTGGGCGACAAAGGTGGTCGGGAATGGTGCTGGCCACCTCATGCACCGTGCCGGTCTCCATTGGTCCTCGCTAACAGCACTCTCCCCGAAAGTCTGTGTAACTTTATTGACACCGGGTACATGCCTGGGGTGTGTCTTGCTTTTCGGCGGTATTTTTATAAACCTAAGAAGACGGTAGATCTTGAGCCAGAGGCCTCATCTATGCTCGAGTGGTCCATCTAAACCATTACTTATTCTTAGGTGTTTTCGGTAAAGTCACGTAGGTAAAACATCTAAATTAATAAAAATAATAAAATAAAATAAAAACGTCGTGATCTTTATTTTATTTTATTATTTTTATTAATTTTGATTATTTACCTACGTGACTTTACCGAAAACACCTAAGAATATGATTCCTCGCAGTCACGAAAGCTTCAAGTCTAGAATAAACCATTACTTGTTACAGACCGGCCACAGTAGAGGGAATAGCCCTCGTGACACAACGTGAATGACACCCAGAAATCTCCCTGCTCAAACGCGAGTGAGGGAGGTCAGTAGTCGACAGCGCTAGGCTCGTGGCTTTAAAAGACGCCTTTCCTGTGGTGGGTATTGTGCGAAGCAGAAGCCGCTGGCATAGGAACGTACGCAAGTGTAAAAAAAAAAAACTAGAAAGATTTTAATTTGACCAGATAAGGCCCGCTGAGCTATGTCGCTGAGCTATGTATTGAGCTATGGACATTTATAGCAGCCAAAACACTCCGAACTTACGTTTATAAATGTGGCAGAAAACACCGGAGGACCCGGAGAAAAATCCATGCGACCACGGGGAGAAAGACACGCAAACTCCGACTATACAGCAGGCGTCAGGGTCAGGATTGAACCCACGACCTCCTGTATACCAGATGAAGTAGTGAACATCTCGCCACCGTGCGACCCTCCCCCATGTGCCACGTGCATGCGCAGTGTCACCTCGGCACGTATCTACGAGCGCAGTCCTCGTCGGCGCGAGAGGGTTAAACGTCTAAGTTGTCAGTTTAACACGTGGTAGGCTTTCACGACCAATATCATGCGTAAAAAAGATTTTTTTTGGGTTAGATCACTTAAATATGAATGTGTCGTTAAATCCACCGTCACCCGGCACTGCCAATTAGTGAGGTTTGTCGCGTAAACAAAATGTGCCAATTCATTACTACTTCAGCACACCCGTGTGTTGGAAAGTAAACCCGCAATATTTACAATCTGAGTACAACAATTCGCTGGTGATTGCAACCAACCTCATCATGCAATTAGCCAGACTGTGATGAACCCCTCCTGTAAAGGTGATGTCATCACTGCGAGCCTATCAGGTGTGAAGACCAGAGGGGTGGAACTAGGGGGGGGGGACGGTGTTCACGTGGGTCATGTATAACGTTGTCATGTACGGTGGTAGTGACCGATCTCTACGAGCGTGGCACCTGGTTGAGCGCGGAGCAGTCGAGCAGGAAGAGGCGCAGGGGCACGGCGGTGGGCAGCGACGAGGCGGCACCTGCCAGCGCGCGCAGGCGCTCGATCTCGCGCGCCGACGCGCCCAGGTTGGGCGGCTCGCGGCTCGTGAGGGCCTGAGCCCGGGCCTCCGCGCCGCCGTTCAGCAGGTACGCGAAGCGGCCGTACACGGAGCGGTACCTGGCATGGGGCACGCCGACATCATCGTCGTTATTGCTGACCTCATCATCGTCGTTATCGTCGTCATCAGCGCCGTCATCATCGCCATTGACGTCACCATCATCGTCATCATGGTCATCTCCATCGTCATCATCATTGTCGTCATCATCGTCGCCATCGTCATCATTGTCATCATCGCCGTCGACATCGCCATCGTCGTCATAATTTTAAAAAGGATTCGATTGACACATTGTTGACATCGCCACGATCAACATCATTACATCATCAATGATCAATCCCCTGCTGGATGAAGGCCTCCCAAGCTGTCATCACTTCCCACAATCTTGTGATGTGACAATGCACCTGGCACCTGCACATGAGCTGATTTCATTGCTCCATCATCATCCTCCTCAAAATAACGGGCTGATTCATGTTGTGGTTGAAACGTGGTTATAATTTATGAACAGCATTAACATGGTACAACGTATATTTGTTTAACCAATGTAGTGGTTTTGCACCAAACATTTTTTTAAAATTGTCTCTCTTATTATTATCACTACACTTGTTAACCCAGGAAAGCCTCACTGAGTCTCTGAGACTGTTTTCCGTGAGGGTACTGCCAAGTTTTCGCACAAGGGGGCGATGTTGCTGCTGTTTGTAATCCCAATTGAGTAATTTGCAGGTATTTATTTCTATATCATTGGGCTATTTTGGTCAATAGCAGCGACACTACTTGCTTATGTATTAACTACGGGAGGAATCCTGAGAATCCAGAGGAAAAAGATGCAGGCAGAAAGGTGCCCGAGTCGGGAATTGAACCCAGGTCCTCCTTGCTGCCGGGCACCCATGTCATCTTACGCAACATCCGAATTGTCTCCCCGCTCAAATGAATGTGGGGCAGTACTCTACCTATTTCACTAACTATTGTTATTTTACCAGATAAGGCCCACTGTGCTGCGTAGCTCTTTTTTAGAAGCAACCTGGCCATCAATGGCAGCTCAACGAAGTGGTTTATCACGTGGATATTTTAATCTTATGGTGGGACCACGGGGTTCCGAATAAACGGGGTCCCGAATTAGCGAAAGTCAAATTAATTTATCTATTTTTGGCGACTCCGTCCCACCGTGCACATAAACGCCACGACCTACCAGAAATCAATCCTCTCGTTCTTCAACAAGAAAATTTGCTGAAGTCATAAACAAAACTTTGAAACTTTGATTAGCGCATCATGTAGAGCTCGTCGAGAGGAATAATTGCCGTATCGTTCGCCTTCAATAGACATAAAATGACGTCGTAACGCAGTTTATGCGAGACCGGGGGCTTATGGGACCCCGAGGTCCCGCCATGAGGTTCATTTATTGCAGCAAAATACTCTGAACGCGCGATGTTGATTCTAAATGTGGAGGGAAAAGCCGAAGGACCTGCAGAAAAATGCACGCGACCATGGAGAGAACATGCAAACTCCGAGTATACACGTGTCAGGGTCAGGGTTAGGATGGACCCCACGACCTCATGTATACCAGGCGAGGTAGTTAGCATCTTGCCACTGGGGTGCCCCTCAACTGCATTACAAGTAATTGGCTTTAACATCACACTCTTTAAAATATATATATATCTAAAAATGTAGTTATTAAAAATTTCATTTCAATTAAATTCCAAACCCAAGTTTGATGATCAACAGCAATAATAATTAAATTGTACAAATTCCAAACGTACCAAATTATGCTGTCATTTTAAAGCAAACCTCGCAGTTGGACAAATGTTGCCTAATTTATTGGAATTAATTTTAGAGTTGAATAATAATAATAATGCTATTAATCATGAGCATCAAACGCAAGCTTGTTACAAAACATTTAATATTGACTCATGACACCAGTGAGGCACATGCTTTGCTTCCTCATCAGAGTAACGACTGAAGCCTAAGCACAAGGCCAAAGTCTCGTATCACCGAGCGTCCAGCAACAGACATCGGCATTGAAGTTGCAATGGATAAGAGGTTACTACAATTGTTGATTTGAGCAAGGGTTATAACGCTTTGGGTTCAAAGAGACCGTGGAAGAGAATTTCAAAGTGGAGCAGTGTGAGGAGAAGACGCAGAAGGAAAAGAGTCGTGACCCACAGCGCCGTGGTGGAACACGGCGCTGTGGAAGGGACGACGCGGTCAGGTCAGTAGACGGAATCATCAACACGGGTGGGCAGCTAAATATGAAATAAGCTGCAGGCCAGTGAATGGCCAGGGGCTGCTAAAAGTATCTCTCTGTGGTTATATACACAATCCGAAGTTTGGCTCGACTGTCAAAGGAAGAATTGCGGTAAAAAAAACATTCAGTTTCCATGCCCTGGATGCTGAGAGCACAGCTAAAGCGTATGGTAATCAGCATGCAAAGACAGAGTCTGATAAATGCTGTGCAAATAAATACACAGCCAAGGCTACGCATTGGCTCAGGGGGGCAATGTCCAAGCCATGATTATGGGATGGCACTTCTGAGACGCCGAGTTTTGAGCAAGAATTTTGGACAGACATAAATTGGCATTACCTCCCCCCTGGGTAACAAAAATAAAAACAACCCCACAAAAAACTCTCATGTGAAGTGAGTTTGATGAGCACTGCTGAGTCAATATTAACGGCACAAGCCCTCACCCCTCACAAGCATCCTGTACAAAAGCGTGTGCTTCACTCAGTGGCAGCTAGCTTCAAGGATATACAAAAAGTGGCATCAGAAACTGAATTAAAAACGCATTTGACTCAGTTTGCCTTACAAAGAACAGATGTTTACTGCATGTGGTGCTGAAGGGAATGTTGTTATGCCATTTTCCAGGATAAGTCATGGTTATTGTGTCGTTGGTATGGGATTCAAATTGCAATATATATGCACTTGCTAATTAATTGGCACTGACATAACAATTACGGGAAAATGGAAAAGTGAAAACGTAATCTCAAATATGTAAATATTTAATTTATTTTAAAATTGGAATTTAAAAAGGGCAGTGTGAGGAGCAGTGTAGAGCCTTGGGGTAAACGAGCAATAAAATTTCAGTCCAGCGTCTGTCCCGCATAATGGGTGACGAGCGTCTGTGTTTGGACCGGGAGGGCTCTCACCACTTTCGGGGACTGACACAGGATGATTTGCATCCGAGAGACTGCGGCTTACGACCTGGACACGTGTCATTACCTGTACACGTCGCTGTCACGATTAGAGAAATAAATAAGCGCATTGAAATTTCTGGGGATATGCCAGAAGCTGGATTCTTCTTACCTCTGCTAAATGTAAATGAGCGCTCAACTTATGCCCAGTGCCTGTCACCATAGCAACAGGGCCTCTTAAATACTCACGCGGTGTGTTAAGTTTGTTAAGACGACGCACTCAGAGAGTGGTGTGATGATAATAATATACAGCACACAGTACTGTTATTTTAAATAAATACAAGAAGACAAAAAAATCGTATGGCCTTTGTATATCAACGCACGTGGAAGACATTACGCATTTTTAAGACAGGAAAAGGATAGCAATATAAAAAGTTAAGGAAAGATCACGTCAAAAAAGACATTCATCAGGGAGATGGATGGGACACGTGTGCAAAATAATGGGGGCAGGTCACTGGCACAGGCACTGCAGAGGCAACCAAAGTTCAGTGGCAAAGGGTTAGACCTGGTGCCAGACGGTGGTGATGATGAACCAGTAAGAGTAGATTGTCTGGTGGCAATGAGCACCATCTACGGCATCTGGCAGAAGGAAGGAAGCAACGGGTAGGTATTATGGCGCTTGTTGAACTTCGCGAGATCGATTAACAATTCTACTGTAAAACTGCGAACGGAGGCGTCGGTGAGGAGAATTCCCTTAAATATGGCTCTCAATTGTGTGGTCTATAAACCTTTACACCTTTGGCGAATTCCGACTGCAAAAGCACCCACCACGCTGCCTGCATGTCAATCACACACTTGAGAAGGTGTGCAAGAGAGTTGCTTAACGCCGCTCTCTCCAACAAACCAGGCGAAGAAGTTGGCCCTTTTTGAACTTGTGACCCCGCCGTACCGGAGGCACGCGGTGCAACCCCAACGCTCTGGCGTGCCACCCAAACATCTCCTTAAAGGCGGCAAAAATTAAAACCGGCGCCGTCAGCTCGCGATATTAAATTCCTGCTCGATCCATCTTGCAAACGTTGTTGCAACAAAGAGTGGCAACTGTGAATATTGATGAAAGCCCAGGAGGGGCGCTTTCATTCCGGGTTGCGGATTCTCACCGTGAGGGCCCGGGGCTGTTGTTTTCCAGAACAACTCGGATTCGTGCTTTGGCCCTGACGACAATTTCATCGTGAATCTGAACGGCGCCGATGAATTTCACCTCCTGTGCGTCCGTGGCCTGCGGGAGGAAACGAAGAAAGCGCATCCGTCTGGAAGTCTGCGAGCAATGACGGGAAGCAGATTTTACAGGACAGCAAATAACATCAAGTAGAGGTCGTCGCCAATAATGCATTTTATGCACATCGTGATAGGGTCCTGATGGCAGCACAGAGACATTGAATGAGCTTCCTGCATGGTTAGGAACATTGAAGCGTACATTGTAGCATACAACAACAGACAAACATCAAAAGGTTTTCATGGGCCAGTGTGTTTACGGCCATGAGCTAGCAGTACAACATTCCTCATTCCCATGGTAGAGGTCAGACGCCCGTCAGGACAACAGATGTCGCATTCACATAATGTAGTTCTGTATTAACTTCATCAATCCAGGATGGATGGTAGCTTGAGCTGTCAGCTGGCAGGGATTTGAACCCACAACCCTCTGAAAGTGAGTCAAATGCTTTGGTAGATTCCCTGCTGTTGGGACTTTGAAGGTAGTGGTCATACGAAATAGCCAAATCCATGTACGTGAACATAATTAGAGATTTCCTGCTCAAGAAAATAATAGCTAAGTTGTAAAATCAAACATCGAGAAACACTAAATATGTAAACATTTAAACTGTGTTCAGTGAATTCCCATAAATGGACATAGCGGGCCTCCCATCAGCCACACAGCTGATCAGACCTTATCACTCTGTCTCCTTGAAACATAGTTTGGGGAAAGTTGGGAAGCTCATTCGGCCAATCACAGTAGATGGCTCAAGTTCATCAAACTGCACACAGGAACTTTAACAACTCAGAACATGTTACTCGCCATTTTACTCAACTGCCACAGAATAGTAACAATGCTGGCTCCATGCCCTGCTGGGCTGCATTAGTCAAAATAAGTATGTATACTGGAGAAATCCGATGAGCTATGAAGCTATTTTCACAGATGTCCAGTAGTCCACCCAATCACCCAGGCATACCCTGCAATGATATTTAATATTTAACCAGGAAGGAAATATCTCTATGTTCAGACAGGCAACACTGTTAGTTAAACTGTTCATTTCACAACTGAACGGTTTTAAGTTTAACTCTTGGTCAGGAGACAACTCAGTCCATGATTTATCGAAGTGATTGTCAAAATTATTTCCTTTTTGTGGGGAAACCGACAGCGCATGTTCCCCGGATACACTCGCCCCGCTGTAGGAATTTCTAGCATTGGTTCATGGGCAGGAGGAGAAAATTGTACCCCCCCCCCACCCCCCTTGAAAAAATCTAAGTTGAGTGATACCGTTTTTTTTTATACGGCCAATAAAAGTGAATTACATGGCCTGTAAAAGTGAATTAAAGTATTAAACCTTTGCAGTGGTTATCACATCAAAATATTACCAATGGTTATAGACCTTGTCAGAAATCACAACAGGTGGTACTGGCAAAATGAAACATAGTCTGGGGCCCGTGGACTAAATTGAGCCATCAATACAGATGAACACTACCCCACTGTCAATTCAGCAGGGCGACACTTTTGCTTGAAGTCTATTAAAAGAACAAAAGTGAATTGTGGATGGGCCCCAAATTATGGGTGTTATTTTTCACCACTTGCCCAGTGCTGGCAATGGGGATGAGCATTGTACCGTGCTCACTGGACTCTTGGGACACCTGTGTTTTCACATTTACTTTTTATAATCGCTTAAAGCTTCTTACATACTCCGCAATCTCCACAATCTCCATCCATCACTGGCCAAAAAAAAAAACTACATTTATATTTACTATAAACTACTATTTTTATTTCATTTCACCAGGTATAAGGCACACTGCGCTATTTGAATTTCATTTCACCAGGTATAAGGCCCACTGCGCTATATAGCTCTTTTTCAGAAGCGACCTGGTCACAAATGATCGCACAACCAATTTGGCTCATCATGCGGAAATTTACGGCAGCCAAATAATCTAAACGCTTGTTTCTAAATGTGAAGGGTAAAACCGGAAGGAAAATCCACGCGACCACGAGAAGAAGATGCAAATTCTAAATATAGACGCAGGTATCAGGGTTGGGATCGAACCCACGAATTCTTGCATACCAGGCGAGGTAGTTAACATCTCGCTATTCCTATGAATTTATGGATTTTGTGGGAACCCGTGGTGAGATGGACAGCCTTCACAACATAAACACAAGGGCAAAGCTAACATTTGCTGTACTGTTACAGCATTGCAATTAGCTTAATTAATCAATTACTGCCAGGAGGCCAATGATTGTGGACAGCTGTTCAAATTTGTGCTAATGGAGCACTAAACTAAACTCCGTAAATAACAAAAATAAATATTTATTTTATTCACGGAACACTTATCATGTTTGTCAGCTCTGCCTGAGCAGGGTTTATAAGCTACTCAGATAGAAACACGGAAAAACAAATAAACACGTAGACAGACTAAGGTTTGTATTTTAACAGGCAAGAGCTTATCTCATCCTCAAGGAAGGCCTGATAGTATATGAGATATTTCAACAAGAAGCACAAATTTTATTTTCATCACACGAGTTGATGTTTTTTTTAAAAGACAAAACAAAATCAGTACAAACAGCAAATACGAGTGCCTAGCAATAACCGAATAACACAAACTTAGTCATCAGCTCCTTTTGTCAACCCAAAATGTTGATCCTCTTTTTAGCCGCGACAAACTGTGTTGATCTCCTTTGACAAGTTTGTAAATATGCATATTATCTGCACCATTCTTTTTGCTCAACAGAAAATTATAAAGTTTAGAGTTGGAGATTAAAAAAAACTATCTAATTCCATGTAACCAGAACACCTTTCGGAAGGTTATATGAAAACGAGATTGGTTTGTTAACCTTAGACCTCCGTGTTATATAAGCGTGTATTGAAATGAACAACAAACTCAACACATTTGTCAATCACACTGTAGCCTTAAAATGAATAATATAATACAGGCGAAGTTTTGGGCAATGGGCCTTCTTCTTCTGATGAATGTCTTGAGGAATGTTGTCAATTCTGCTTGTGCACCACTGCAAACGCAGCATCACCACAGATTGTTTACGTGTGTATTCATGTTTATGCACGTGTGTCAAGCTTTCTAACGTCATCGAGTACAACGCAAACTCTTCTGTCCAGTGCCTCAAAGCTTCAGGTCAATCAACAGATTTTGAATTCATATTGCTTAACTTCCATTATAGCCTACTTAACCATCCTGAAATTGGCTTCTCATCAGCATTGTATATTTTGTGTATGGTTCTCAAATGAAATGTTTGTGGTGTTTCAGAAAAAAATTGCAATAAATTGTAAAAAAATAAATTGCTTTGTGACTGCAAGATAATGAAGGAAGATGGCATTCATCTATCGGCGTACGTGTCCATCGGATTAATCATTCGCAGCCACCACAGCCAGGTCGTGCTGGGGTTAAGGCGCTCGTATAAAATTTGCGTAGCCCGAGTAATAAAGAAAATCCCCACCAGCCCAGCTTCCCTCTGGCAGCAGATATAATATTAGTACCGCGTTTTGGGAAGTCAACAAATGACGGGGGCTGATGTCCTCTGCACGAGACTGACCTCTGCGAGAGGCTGACCTCTGGGAGGAAGGAATTCCCACCGCCAACTGCGGCAAAGCTGCCGATAGAGATTAGCGCCACCGGATTGCTCATTTGAGCAAGCAGACACTTTGAAATGTTATCTTGATTTAAAGGAAAGCCGAGACATTTTTTTTCCATCCCGATTCCAACGAGTCATATCGCCTCAGTGTTGCCGATTACACAAATGCTGCTGAGCATCTCTATGTCAGAGGCGGAAGCAGACTAACCCCCGCCCCCCGTTCCCCCCACCAAAATAATATATGACACGCAGCAATGCATAGCAAATGCTCAACTAAGCATGTGTGCGGCTGCTGCTGCTTCAGCAAATATTGCAATAAAAAACAAAAAGGAGACAAGGAGTTTGATAAACGTATGACAAGGAGATAACATTCATCAGCCTATAGGCCTTGCACGCTGCATTTGCGGTAATTGCGTGTGTAATATTTTGTTTTGTGCGTCACTGAGGAGAATTCAAGTCAACAAGTCCAAGTTTCCCGCACGCTGTTATCCTGCGGCCGTAGCGGACTTTCCACATTCCAGTGGGCAAGGCTGTTGAGGCTGCATGAAACGCCGCTCGTTTTGGCAAGCCTCATGTCATAGGCCAAGTCAACCTCAGAAAATGTGCCCATTTCTAGTAATTAAGATTGCTGTTATTTTAATTGTTAATAGTTGATTTATGCAAACAGTACATTCAAGTAGAAACAATACAATTATGTAAACAAATCACAGAATAGTAATGCCCTTTGAAATGCATCATGCCTCTTTGGCAGGATAGTCCTCCATTCAAATGTTTAGACACCCATGACAAGAGTAATTTCTCAAGCGAAATTAGTTATCGTCTCAGCCCAGTTCACAAACGACTGCATAAACAAAATAAAACAATTCATTTGTTTTTTAACTTCATTTAGCTAAGTTCCACCTCTTGAGAATTAAACCAAATATCGATGTGATTACCAAGTGATGAACTTTTCTCTATAGCAGGGCATGTGGAAACGTGCATTCGCTAGGGTGTGGAAAGGTCACTAAAAGGAATATTTAAGTAGTTCTGTGAAATCTGCATCCACAGGCAATTCCTCGAACACGAAGAATACAATATTCGTTGAGAGTTCAGGATGAACGCCTCTTCCTGTAACATGCCACCGATATACCACGTAGGCTTTCACGACCAATATAATTAATGACATAGTGTTTTTTGGTTAGAATGCATAAACTTAAATGTGTTGTAAAGCCACCTCTGCCTGACACAGACAATTAGTACGGTTTGTCATGTAAACAAAACCTGCCAATTTGTTACTATTCCAGCACATCGGTGTGTCAAAGATTAAACCCACAACATTTATAATGACAATCACCTGATGAAGCTGGTTGTAATCACTAGAGCAATGTCCTATTTAAATTGTAAATGTTGTGGGTTTGCTCTCTAATCTCGTCGCGAGATTTAAAAATAATTTTACCAGGAGGCAGTACTTTCCCATCGCCACCCCGAACCTACTGCAGAAATTAATGTTGGTCGCATAACGGTCGAAGCAATAATTTTTACTCTCATACCTGGAATTCTCCAACATTGTGTGCAAACAAATAATACTTTGGTTTGTGTATTTTTTATGCTGGCCATTAGTGACCAGGCTGGGACCTATATCTCACGAACACATGATAACCTAGTAAAGTGAAAGGCCTCTGTCTGGACACAAAGCATACACACAGATAAACCATAATTTTTTTTGTACTAAATTTGGCCTCGCCCAGCTGAGAGGACCCTAATTGGAAAGCCCTGGGTGTGAACGCGAGGCTGGGCTGTGAAACTCCACGTGTGGTGTCCGGCGTTATTTGAACTCGCCAATCTCACGAAAAAACACCAAGTGGCTGCTGCATTCGCTGGCAATTTAATTTCAAGGCTGTAACAAATTTGATTATATTTAAGCTACATCTGAAGGGACATTTGAAGTGGAGCGCTCTGTGACTGCTGAAAATGAAAGCGCTGCGTCAACATTGGTGTGGCAAGTCCCATGCATAGCGGCCCACTCCTATACCCCGGCAACTTGCCGGTGGGAATGGTGGTCCGCAAAGAGATGAAGACTGCATAAAACACTCACCTGCTGTGCAAGAAAGTGCCTGTAAGATCTGTGTATGTATGTTGAACTTTTTAGCACCGTATGTATCCAACCATGCTAATCGGAGGTGCGGTAGGTATTTTGCTAACGAACTGCATTTTGCGCGCGGGAGTTTGAGTGTTATTATTTTTTACACGTGAGTAAGTAAAACTTTATTTTGATGGTGTTTTAAACAATTTGGTTATCCAGCTGAGTGTAATGTGAGTAAAAACTGCATCGTACATTGCACTCCAGGGCATTAAGCACCTTTGGCGAAGGAGTGAAGACCAAGAGAGAGCAAAAGAAGCAGAGGAAGGCAGCAAAAGAGACAGCAACAGCGAGACAAATTCAGAGAGTTCAGAGGTCATGGCTGGATGAGAGCAGCTGGGCAAAGGCAGGGATGGAAGCAAACAGTGGAGTCCTTTGTTCAGTACAGGAAAGGTACTAAACTACTATTCAACGTTTTTTTTTATTTTACCAGGCAAGGCCCACTGAGCTGTATAGCTCTTTTTTAAAAGCGACCTGGCCACAAATGAAAGCTCAAGAAAGTGGCCTAGCATGTGGAAATGTATTGCAGCCAAATACTCTAAACGCTAGTTTCTAAATGTGGAGGGAAAAAACGCGTGTTCGCGTGACCACGGGGAGAACATGCAAACTCCAAATATATAGCAGGCGTCAGGATCGGGATCGAACCCACGACTTCCTGTATACCAGGCGAGGTAGTTAACATCTCGCCACAGGCTGACGGCAACCATAAGAACAACGTTTTATTGGGAATGACCCTCGTGGAATATTTTTTTTCCAGATTATTCCACTAGATGGCAGACGTATTATGTAATAAAAAATTATGGCAATACCCTTGCACAACTGCACATGAGAAGATTCATCTTATAATTATGATGATAATGGTGACAACAGCAGTATGATATTGCCGATGTACATAATGACAATAATGACGAATCTGATGATGCGCATGATGAATGTGATGGTGATGATGGCAATGATCACAGTGAGAATGCTTCTACAATTCTACTGCCACCGTGCAATGCTTAACACACTAGATTTGCAATCCAGAAGTTTCAAGTTAAAACAATGGGAACATGCAATCAATTCACCTACCTCTGTGCGCCCAGCAGTAACCCCACAGTTAGTCAATCGGCAGGTCACATGCGGTGGGCTAAAGTGTGGGTAGTCCCACCTCTTTGAAGACACCTGGACAGCGTAGAGGAGTAGGCCAAAACATCCGCCAGCGGAGCTTACTAGAGCTCCTGCCAGTCTGGGCTGTTCTTCCAACAGCAGCAATGAACAAGCAGTTGCAGGGCTGCACCTTTGCATCTGCCGAATCTCTCGCTGAAGCGGGTGAAGGTGTGGGTGGCAGCACCTGAAGCGGGTGAAGGTGTGGGTGGCAGCACCTGACGCGGGTGAAGGTGTGGGTGGCAGCACCTGAAGCGGGTGAAGGTGTGGGTGGCAGCACCTGAAGCGGGTGAAGGTATGGGTGGCAGCACCTGAAGCGGGTGAGGGTGTGGGTGGCAGCACCTGACGCGGGTGAAGGTGTGGGTGGCAGCACCTGAAGCGGGTGAAGGTATGGGTGGCAGCACCTGAAGCGGGTGAGGGTGTGGGTGGCAGCACCTGAAGCGGGTGAAGGTGTGCGTGGCCTCACCTGGAAGAGCTGGTGCTCGAGACGCGGCATGGCCTGCACGCTCGTCACGACGTGCTCCACCAAGCGCTCCAGGGTGGCCGCCACCTCGGCCAGCGACGGGCCAAACGTCACCCCCGGCAGGGGGGGCCCCTCGCCAGCTGCAGAGCCCCCCAATGCCAACGGGCCCTCCGCTTCCACCGGCTCCTGCAGATTACGAAGGGGAGTAGGGGGGGGGGAACCGTGAGTTTTAACCCTTTCACTGCAAAATTTTCGCCTCTTTTGGAGATTCAACACAGAGTCCGGCTTGTGTGTCTTTCATCCGGCGAGCCACAGCTTCAATAGATGAAATCGACGGTCGGGTGAGAAGACAGATTCTCGGATTTTCGCGCGAGAGATGACGGCACGTGCAGCAGCCTGCGACGTGTTCCGGCCAGGTGGCGTGGCGGGCAGAACGCTCGGCTCACTGTCAAGGTTCACTTTAGGCCATCCTCCCTCCTCGACGGGGAAAACGAGTACCACTTTGAGAGAAGTCAACATTGGTCATCCTATGGAGAGACTGGCCCCTGCAGTAAGAATGCACAAGTCACTGCAGGCTCGGGGTTGAGATGAGGAGATCAACAACATTCCAAGATACTTTGAGCAGGGAAACACTTCGATTTTTATTATGAATATAACCCGAGAGCACACACATAGCCTAAACATGTATTATTATAAATGTGTCTTATATACATACTAACTGACTTTGGCTGACCATCCTTAATATAAGTACCAAACAATTCTATATACAGTTTTTTTTTTTCAAAAAAAGAAATTCACCTTTGAACCCAGAATTCATAGCCACTCCGACATCACAGGCCGTATATTGGGATGCATGAATTTGCACATGTTTTTGGGATTAACGCGAAAATACCAGAAGTGTGCGTTTTCACAGGAAAAGGCAATTCTCATGGATCACATGTTAAGACTGCTGCTCGCTGCCAAAACACATCATGTACGATCTATTCCAGAGTGAGGTCATCCCTAAAGCGGCCAGGTGTAAACACGGCAGTAGTGGAAAACACATTTCCCAATGTCCTTGCCCTAATGGTTTCGAGATTTGGTGTTGGTTTCTCACCAACGCAATTACGATTTCGAATATTTTCATAGGGCGGCAAAACAAAATTGGAAGGCGCTGATTTGAAATTTTGAGCACAAAGAAACTTGGGAATAGAAAAGCATTTAAATTAATGAAAATGATTATTGATTGGCACGTTTATTACTCGAGCAATTTATCTGTTTTTCACACTGGTGGATGCGGAGAAATGAGGCAGTGAGGAGGAGTGCGACTCTAATTCCTCATTTCATTAACCGCCAGTGTCCTTGTAAATAGCGGGAAAGGTCACGTCATAGAGCAGCTTAATGGAAAAATGATTCGGCGCATTCCCAAGCGCGTAGCGGGCGCCTCGCCTGCAGCGCGGCGAGTAAATCACTATTAATTGCGATATTACACGGGCCCTGGAACCTCCCAGCACACCGAGACACGCGGTCACGTGTGGAACCGCTCACACACGCAGCCACACGAACACACACACACAAAGAACCCCCGTGTAGCCTTAACAGACTATAGGGGGCAAGTGCCGTTCATGAGCACCTATGAAGGCCGGCACGGCACGCGAAGGGGTGGGTGGCCAGCACCACGCCCGGCCGCCTTTGTCTCCCCACTGGCGATGTTACACATCGCACTAGGTACTCATCTGAGGCTGAGTCGATCTAGCGGAGGCCCAGGACCGGTTCAAATAATCGTTACCGGTGTAGGCCGTGGGCGGGAATCGAACCCGTGTCGCCAGGTTTGTAGCGCAGCGCGCGAACCGCTACACTACCGCTCCCAATACACACACACATACACACACACAAACGTGCAATATATGAGGCAGATGCCGTAGCCCATAGCTCTCTAGCCAGTCCATGAGCACAAACGAGGGCAATTTATTACTGTGTATAGGAATCGCAGATGTCTTCATTGCCCAGATGGTGAACTCTGCCCCAGTGTAATAAATAGTGAGCCGGACGTGATGGGCTCTGACAGATATGTGGTATTAACCCTTCATTGACTTCACACCCACAGGTCTCTTTAACGTGAAGAGATATGCCATGCACACGCCACTCACTGCCTGCATTGTCAGCGAAGAGACTGCTGTGCCAAAACCGGGAATGCGGGAGTCCTCCAAACGCGGGACTTGCACACCAGCTAATTACAGTTCAGCACAAGCCAGCCACACTCGCCGAGACATGAAACGCCACCGATGCGTCGTCTGTGTTCATTTGACAGTTGGCTGGCACAAGTTTAAATCCCAGTCAGGGCGGGATGAATTTGCTCCATCGTATCTCTTGGGTCAAAAAACAACAACAAAGTACGACCTTGGAGTAAATAGTAGTCGTTTGCAAATGGGTATACTGGCCCCTGCTGTAAAGCAAATTTCCAGGTCTGGGAAAAAAGTTACCCCCTTTTCCGTTGGGACATCTGAGCCCAGGCCAGCATGATGGGGACCCTCAAAAGTGCAGGAGTGGTTTTCTGCACCAAGCCCAAAACAAAGCATGATACGCAAAGACGCGTAATAATGACACATGTCGCTGATGTATCCAAGAGAGCCACACTGAGCCGTAGGCCTCTTTTTCATGAGGGTCCTGCATTCTCTTTTTTATTTTAAGATGCTCAGACAATTAATGATAAGTGTGTATTATTCTCGTGGGAGGAGACCGGAGCACCCGAGGGAGCAAAGACTCTACTCCCATACAGATGGAAACTGATGTTGATTATTCCACTTGCTGTCCTGCCTTCTCGTGGCGAGCCAGGGTATGGCAACTCGACGCCAATGGGAAGGGAGTTTCAGAACATTTGTGTGATCCAACAACCCTCACTCACCTCCACAGTGCTGGACTAAAGACAAGCACAACCACCGCCCAGGGGGGTCATAAAACATATGAATCTGGCGTTGGGCCAAGCAGGGCCAGGAAAAGGGGCTAATCACGTGTTAATTTTGTGTTGATGTGAGTCAGTACACTGTGAGGACACAATGTCACCACATCATTTACGTACTATGTTGAACTTCTTTCGCACCGTACATAGCCAACCATGCTAATCGGAGGTGTGGCAAAGCTTGGCTTCTGCAGTGGTTAAATTCAGCTGGCCACTCTTGAGCCGTGCCCGGCCGGCTTGGCACAACCCTGGCATGGCTTTGGTTGTGCAGTGGAAAAGAAGAGATTCAAGGTACAGAAGCGTATCTCGGGATAGTTGAGTCACCTGCCGGCCAGGGGCCAGTGACGATGATGATGGCCTCCCTACAATGGGCGTAACATTTTGCGCGCCTTTGTATTTCCATTCATCGTTGCCCTTCAAAGTTGTGATTCCAATCAAGAATGATTGTTGATCACTGTGGTGAATGCTGTGGCCACATATAATGTAAATATAGATGTAAAAACACTGATATTTTCGCACGTGATTCGATGCATGTCGTGTGAGCAATAATAATAAACAGTTGATGAATTAATGCATCATAACACCCATACTTCCTACCATAATATTGTATTCAAAATGAGCTAATCAGGAACCTTCTAGCAGCGGCGAGCTGGTGAGTGAACGGCTTATGGGGCCTTGCCAACGATGTCCTGCTACATCAGTGGCACACAATTAAGCGCCAGGTACTAGCCCGGGAGAGCGTAGAGCCAATTATCATCACTTGCCTGCATAGTAGGACCCTCCAATTTGGACCGGAAAAGTGCGACGGTGCCAAACTCCCACGTGAACGATGCAACGGCGTTTCCCAATTCATCGTTGTGACATTAAAGCCTAATTACATTTGTCTACAACTGCCCATGCAAACTGGGTCGGCCGGATATTTTTGAATTGCGTTTCTCAGAGCCGCGAGAACGCGGGGAGAGCAGCGAGGCCTGGGACAGGAGAAGTGGAGATGATGTGAATGTGTCGGAGCACTGAACTTTCACTCGGAAGGTTGTGAGTTCAAATCGCGGTCAGGGCTTCAGCCAGCATTTGGCTTCTAGCATTGATAACAATCCCTGACCACCATGTGTGGAGTCAACAGTCATTGTATCGTGGAGGCAATGGGCTCCCGTCATAGGAACGTTGAATTTCCACGAATGACTCGGGGGTCATCGTGCGAGAAAATCGGTGCCAAATGTTCACTTGTGCGTGGAGCCGTTATGACCAAAATCTGAACAAAAAAATGTCTTCATAATTCCTTTGTGAGATTTCCTAGCACGTGTCATGAATCTATGGTGTGTCATGAAGCCGAAATCATGCGTTGATAAGAAATATAGAAATATAGGACAATAAAAAGAAAAGTAACTTCACGAATGTATGCACTATGTTTCGCAATGACCACACTTCTAACGACTTTCCTGCCAAAAATGGTGTCATGTGGTGTCGAGTGACGTCAATTTTGTAAGCCTGAAAACACGTACATACATATATATTGTTACGTAAGCCATCCACAAATCTGAATTTTTTTAAGTGCTTCACTCATTACTTTTGTTCATTGTTGGCAAGGCACGACGCCTTGCAACTTTTTGTGAAAGGCGCCTTATTAGTGCCCATTATTATTATTGTTTACCCTTAAAACCCAAAACTAAATTCCGAAAAATTATATCATTTTATAAATCTGAAACTCGATCTCGAGGGTGAATGGAGAAAACCCATGTCATGATCCTACTTCCTCTACTGCCTCCCCCACACAGCTCATCGCCCCTCCACGTGAGTGTCTCCCGACGATGCTGGATTACAAGCGACCACGCGGCCACCACAAACGGCCACCGCACACGGCCGCACGATGGGCAAGCGATGCCTGGTCGGGGAGAGGGCCGAGAAAACGGCTGATCGCACGGCACGGTCATCTCGGGGCGCCACGGTGGCGAGAGGTCATCTCCGTCGCCTGGTATGCAGGAGGTCGTGGGTTCGATCCCGACAGTTACCCCTGTAGAGTTGGAGTTTAGATGTCTCCCTCCCCGTGCTCGCACGGATTTTTCTCTAGGTCCTTCGGTTTTTCCCTCTCCGCGTTTAGAAACATGCGTTTAGAGCATTTAGACACATTAAATATTCCACGTGATAAGCGACGTCATTGAGGTATCATTTGTGGTCAGGTAGCTTCTGAAAAAGAGCTTATCGCTCAGTGGGTTTTACCTGGTAAAATTAAAAAATAAAGGCAAAAACG